TAATTATATCTCGACAGCAACAAAGAAAGTAGTATCTGAATCAGATTCTTTCAACCTGAAACTGCAGCTGTTCATAAAGCATAGAAGCATGTTTTTACTTGTAGGCAAAAAAAAAAAAAAAAAAAAAAAAAAGCGAAACCAGAGGAAAAGAATATGGTGCCGGGAGCCCTCTGAAGCATACAGCTGCAATAAACATTTCATGTTGCATTCCTCACCTTATTATCACAGTGGTCACTGATGATATTACACAAATAGAACATGTTGTTAATAGGTTATTTTTTAAGTTTTCAATATTAGATCACTGAGAAATGATCACTACAATGATCTCACTGAAACTTAAAATACTATTTCGTGAAATATATTGTATATTTTCAAGTATTTTTTAAATTATTATCTTCTTTTACCTTAACGAGGGAGCGGCAAGTGAACCCCTTGAACTTGTTCATATTCAACCAATATTTATTAAGAATGCACTATGTGACAGGCACTAAGATGTATCATGAAGGTATATCACAATGAGAATAGAGGTCAGAAAAAAAGTGTAGCTAAAGGGTTAAGAGATTACAGACAATGTTGTAAGTAACTCCAGAAAGGGATCAGATTTGGGATGGAAAAACATGTAGAAATACACAAGGGGGAGAAGTGAAAAGCTGAAGGACATTTCAAGTTGGGTATGTGCAAAGGGAGAACACGAATGCTTCAGGAATGATGCAAAGTTAAAGTTAAGATGGTGCATAAAACGCTCTATAACCTGCCTTCTGTGGATCTCTTACATTAAATCTTGCTATTTCTTGATTCATACATTATGTTTATCTTCTGTGCCATTGCCTGTGCAATCTACTCTATTTAGATGATTGCCTTTCACTCTTCATTTCTCCTGGTTAATATCTTTACACAAGTCTTCTCCATTCAACTATGGATTCCTTAGAGACAGGTACACACACATCTTATTCATCTTTGTATCCCAGGGCATAATACAATTCTTGGCACAATGCAGCTATTCTATAAATGCCTATTGAATCCATTGATTCATCGATCCACCAACAAAGTCAGTGAGCACTTTCTTTGTTATTGATTGGTTGATAAGTTTACAACAGTTTAAAAAAAAAAAAGACATGATAATCTAAGGATTACCTTAATCTAATCTAATCCTACCTTAATCTAATCTAATTTTTGCCTTATTACCTTAATCTAATCTAATCTTTCTTCTAAGGAAGAAAGCAGCAGATGAATTTGAGAAAGTAGGTTGGGGACAGACAATGAAAGATCAGCCATGCCACTTAAAGAAGTCAGAATTAACTTTGTGTCTCATTTTCACCAAAGGTTTATAGAGAGGGAAGAGGTATCATTTCTATATAGAAACATATATGTTTTGTAAAACTTTAAGCAGAGTCTTGTTGAAGTAGGAAATTGAGTTAGAATATATTTGTTGATCGTAGAGGACTGCAGAGTGGTGTAAGAAGTAGAGGAGATGTTAACTGCAGAAGCAGATCTTGTAAAACAAAAAATCTTAAAGTGAAGAGTCGCTTTGCCTCTAGTAAGAATTGAGTTTGGTAATAAAAAGGAACCAGTTGAAGGAGGATCAGGGAGATGTGTGTGAATTTGAAATAAAAACTAACATGAGACCACCATGACAAGGAGAACTATGAAATGAGAATAAGAGGAAGAGAAGAATTGAGGAAGAGAAGCAAATAATTATCCCCATAAAAGAAGGGGTATGATTTGATTTCTGAAATCCTTGCTTATGTAGGAAAAAGAAAAAAAAAATAAGAAGGGATATGATGACAAAGCAGAAGAGAGGGGAGATAAGCAGCTCTGGCTATAAACCAGCATGCAAGTGATAAAAGCCAACAGTTGGAAAAACAGAAATAAACAAATATGAAACAAGTAGGAACACAACTTATTTTATGAGTAGTAAATGAAAATACTTTCTTAAGAGCTAGTACCAGACTTCTTTAGAGAAGTGATTACTGGTTTTTAGGAAAAGTGACTTTGAATATAGAATGTGAGCTCTGGGAACACGGCTCAGGAGGAGCAAATCAAAGATCACTGATGTTGTTTATGAGAAGTAAAAGAGAAGACCTCCTCCAACATGGTCGACTGAGTTTTCCTTTATAAACTTACAGAAATGACGGATAAAATATAATTATTGTTACAGAAACCATATACAATCTTAAAAACAAAAAACAAAATTCTCAGTGTCCAAAATAAATTTTAAAAATTGAAGAGCAGAAAGCAGAACTGATACTGTGGTAGCCCTCCAAAATTTTACACTTGGCTATATGCCTCAGGAGCCAGTAGTTGTGTTTTAATGTCCAATCACAAGGCTGAGCTTTGATAAGGCAGGTGGGCTGGAACCAAGTCTCTAGGTAACACCTGGAGCCTTAGGAATTGCCAGTCACTGGAACTGGAAAAAGGCAATCTACTAGTCTGGGGAAGCAATCACAAATTTGTTCTTTGGAGCTTTGGATGGGGACAAAAAAACATAAGGTACTTATGATAAACCAAAACTGCAGCCCTGCAACAGATCTAAATTTACAATATTTGCATAATTCAGGAGCCACAGAGAAATTATCATTTGAAAATGCTTCAGGATCTTTAAAAGCTACAGTATGCTGGCAGAAGCAAATGCATAATTGCTCTAAAGGGACTCTTGCAACTAAGGGCATAAGAGAGTCCCATAAACAAAACAACCCCACTGAAGAAGAGCACCATGTGAGGAAATAAATCACTGAATGAGTCAGTGGAGGTTGTAAACAAGAGTTAGAAACTCAAAAGCTAAAAATAACAGAACTACCAGAAAAGATAAAATAAAGAAATATAACTTAATTAAAAGGGAAAAGTAATAGAAATCATAATGAAAGAATAGGCAGATTTCACAAATAACAGAACATGTAGTTTTGAAAATAATATTGTCATTGAAATTAAAATGAATGAGTCCAACCAGATCCTACTAGTGAATGAATAACCTCCTTTTCTTCTCCTTATTTAAAATTACACTTAGCTGTGTTTCTTCCCAGGTTTGTCAAACAGGTTATATTTGGTGAACCACAGTTCAAATAATATGGCGTTAGAAATAAAATACAGCCATGCGTTGCCTAACGACGAGATACATTCTGAGAAATGCCTCATTAGGCAATTTCATTGTTGTGCAAACATCATAAAGTATACTTACACAAACCCAGATAGCATAGCCTTATGATCCTAGACTACAAACTTTTATAGCATATTACTGTACTGAATACTGTAGGTAACTGTAATACAATGTTGTGTTTGTGTTTCTAAACGTATCTAAACATAGAAAAGGTAATATGTTGCACTATGATGTTACAACATATATGCTTACATCACTAAACGTATCTAAACATAGAAAAGGTAATATGTTGCATTATGATGTTACAACATATATGCTTACATCACTAAGCAATAGGGATTTTTCAGCTCCATTATAGTCTTAGGGGACCACAGCCACATAACATAGTTGGACATTGAAATGTTATGTGGTGCATGACTGTCTTTAAAAAGTGCTGCTAGGCCACTGCCCTCCAGGCTGAGACACACTGAGACTCTGTCTCTTAAAAAAAAAAAAAAAAAAAAAAAAAAAAAGTGCTGCTAGTCAATACAATGTAAAAATATAAACTTACTGTCATCAATTCATTCCCTTGAACCTAAAAATAATCTCTCAACAAAATGAACCTTCCTTATTTCTGTGATAAGTCCTTTCTTTTTTTTCTTCTGTCCTTTGTCCCAAGGAGAAAGGATTCACTTGGGTCCCTGTGAGAAGAGCTTCTTTAGTACTCTAAAATTAGAAAAGTATACCCAAGATAGAGTAGGTTCCTCCCGATTCCCTAGGAGAGTAGAGGACCAAATCTCTCTCCTAGGTCCTGCTTTATGGCTATATGTGTGTCCTTGCTAGTACAGATGCCTTCCATATAAGGACTCAACTTCCCTAGCTGCCAGATTTCTGCTTGAAACACTGCCTGCTAGTGTTGACACTTTTTTTTTTTTTTTTTTTTTTTTTGAGACGGAGTTTCGCTCTTGTTACCCAGACTGGAGTGCAATGCCGCGATCTCGGCTCACCGCAACCTCCGCCTCCTGGGTTCAGGCAATTCTCCTGCCTCAGCCTCCTGAGTAGCTGGGATTACAGGCACACGCTACCATGCCCGGCTAATTTTTTGTATTTTTAGTAGAGACGGGGTTTCACCATGTTGACCAGGATGGTCTCGATCTCTTGACCTCGTAATCCACTCCACAGTGATGAAGCAAGACAGTGTTTTATTTATACTGCATCTACCCTATACTCTCTTTTTCTACCTCACATCTGCAGATCAGGGGGCTTTAACGGCTTTGTGCCTTAGTCGTTTCCACTCACCAGTGGTGATCTCAGGAGGCAGGGTTGCAATTCAGTCATCAGTGATTTCCTCAAATCCTAACTGACGGAGGTCTAAAACTGATAGAGATCTCTGCCTTTATAAACATTTTGCATTTTAATCGAGTCTCAATGGGAGTAGATCTGCACATTCTTATAACCACCCCGAAGTCCTTACCCAGCAAAAGTGCATTTGTATATATATTTTCATCCATTTGACATAAGTGTAACAGCTAGTTGTTAAAGTGCCCAGACTAACAGTTTGTCTTAACACATATTTTCATACCAAAAACCACTTTATTTCACAACTTGACAAAATCCACATTAGGATTTGTTGGAAAATTAAAAGTTTTTTTTTTTTTTTTTTTTTTTTGAAACGGAGTTTCCTTCTTGTTGCCCAGGCTGGAGTGCCGTGATGCGATCTTGGCTCACTGCAACTTCGGACTCCCAGGTTCAACTGATTCTCCTGCCTCAGCCTTCCGAGTAGCTGGGATTACAGACATGTGTCACCACGCCCAGCTAATTTTGTATTTTTAGTAGAGACAGGGTTTCTCCACTTTGGTTAAGCTGGTCTCGAACTAACTCCAGATCTCAGGTGATCTGCCGGCCTTGGCCTCCAAAGTGCTGGGATTACAGAACTGAGCCACCGCACCTGGCTGGCAAATTAAAATCCTTTACTCACAAAATGATAAAATGAAGGAGACACAGCTGAAAGTAAATGTGTAAGAGTTAACAGAATCAGTACAAGTGAATAGCTGTGGAACCTAGGGGGACGCAGGAATCAAGGTAAAGATACCTGCTTAATCCATGTTAGCATAAATTGACTATGGTTGACATCACAGAAGTGGGTAAGCGTATCAAATAAATGAATCCTTTCTTTAAAAACCACATAAAACTTATTTTATTCCCTTAAAGAGAAATATTTTCAAAATACAGGCACATTCCTGGTAGGGTGATACCAGTTGAGATGACGGCATTGCCATTCCAGGGCCAAGAAAGCAACTTTAAAAACATGCCAGATGCTGTAGTCTAGATGTGTCCCTCAAAATCCACATTTTGAAATCCTAACCCCCAAACTGATGGTTTTAGCAGATGGCCTCTTAGGAAGTGAGGAAGAGGATTAAGGTCCTTATAGAACAGGCCCAAGGGAGCCCCTCTACCCTGTCCATCATGTTAGGACAGAGGCAGAAAGTGCTATCCACTAAACAGAAAGCACCCCTCCCTAGACACACCTTGCTCTTGGACTTTCCAGCCTCCAGAAATGTGAAGAATAAATTTCTACGGTTCATAAGCTGCCCGGTCTATGACATTTTGTTATGGAAGCCCTAAAGGATCAAGCCAACCCAGAATAGCACTGTTACCCGCCCATCTTTTTGTTACCTCACCTAGGGTAACACCATACCCATTCCAGCGTTAAGCCCTCCTTCTTTAGTATCAACGTGCTTGGAATCCTGAGTAATCCTGACACCTTTTTTCTCCCTAAAGGAAAGAAGGATACGTACCAATTAACAGGATCGGTTATTAATAGTACTCGATTCTGTGCATGAAGCCTATAGGCATTTAAAAACATGTCATCTGGAGCCAGACCGCCTGGGAACAAATCCCAGCTTACCAGACAGGCTGCTTAGCCTTCCTTTATTTGGACTCATTTGTCAAACCAGGGCAATTTCCGATCTCATAGGGTTGCGAGGAGGATTTTAAAAGGCCCTTGGAACAGAGCCTAATACTCAGAAATCAATACACGTGACGTCTCTTAAAAAGGTTTCCAGAAATGTTCTCGACAGGTTAGGTGGGTTCATCATGACGCCGCTTTCCAGTGTAAGGGAGGGGAACAGCTATTTAGCACCACACAACTTCTCCTCCGGGCTCAGAACGGCCCTCGGTAGACGACTGTCCCTTCCCGACAGGGACACTCCGGATACAAAGGCTCTTCCGCCAGGCCCGCCGCCAGCACGGGGCGGAGCCCGGAAGCGAGCCAGAGTCCTCCGAAGGCCGGTTCCTCTCCGGCCCCAACGAAGTACAGCTTTTACTTTGCCGCAATCTGAGTAAACCCCAGGAGATTGAGGCTTCCGAAACAGAACCGACGAGAACACTCAGAGGAAGCCTTTCCACGTCCTGACTCTGCCTTTGAGGGAAAAGAAGTTGGCCGCAGCGAACAACGCCGAGCCCTCGAGAAGGCGGAGTCTGCAGGGCGCGACGGGCCCACCGGAGGGCCCCGGGAGGGGCGGGGCTGGCGGAGCGCGAGGACCCCGGGCCGAGGTGTGGGGGCTGACCATAGCGCGCCGGACGCCGGTGTGAATATATACCACCTGCTCCTGTAGTGCCCAGGCCCGCGCCGCGGGGTCCCCGGAGCTGCCACTATCGAGGCTCTCTTGCCTAGTGCCCTACGGCTTTAATCCTTCGAGTGCAGGAGAAAAATAGAACCCTAAAGACAGGCAGCTCCTAGGCACCAGCACAGGAAATAAGCCATGGGGGTGGGGTCCTTTGCTCGCGCCGAAATTCAAAGGAATAAATAGTTCCGGCGCGGGTGTTGAGAGTGGCGTGGCGGGGACTGCAGCCGCTATGGGAAAGTTCGCTTCGTAGCAGCCGCGGCTCGAGAATTGGCCTGCTCCCCTCCTTTGTGAAGCGGAGGAGCTTTTGGAGTGCGTCAAACCCTGGCCCGAGGCAGCGGTGAGGCGTCCGCCTGAGCGCGGCCCGTTGAGCCCGGCTGGGCTTCCTGGCGGGAGGCGGGAGGCTGGGGCTGCGGGGAAGAGGACTAGCGGCAGAGAGGGAGCCCAGGTGACCGTAGGAGTAAAGCCGAGTTCCTGTTTGGCCTTTGAGTAGGGCAGAGAGGTGTCGACAGGCTTGGAGAAGCTAGGTCACAGCCTGAGTAAAAGCTAGAAGTTGGACAATATGAGATACATCTCATCTCTAGTAAATACTGAAACGCCTTCCCCTCCTCCCGCGGTCAGGCACGGTTCGGGGATGCCATGATGGCCGCAGGTGAAGATCCTACAGGAACTTATAGGCAGATAATGACCGTCTAATAATCAGCCTTAAGTGCCATGAAGGAAAAAGCCCAGTGAAGGAATGTGGAGAGGTGACATAGGGGTGTCCGGGACGACTCCAGTAAGGTGACACTTGAGCAAAGACGGGGGTGCAGTAGAGAGTAAGCTGTGCCAGTGTCAGAGAAAAGCTCGTTGTGGGCAAAGAGAATGGAATATGAAATAATCCGTAGTCTTTGCTAGCTAGAGTATGGTAAAAGTAGAAGGCAAACCTGGAAAAACAGGAGAAATAGTTAACTCTTCCCATTTGAATGGTTTGATTTCCAGACAGTGGCTAACTCTGGCGTACTTTTCAGTAAATGAAAGATGTCTGCGTCAGACAAGATAGTTTGTCAAAAAACAAAACAAAACAAAACAAAAAAAAAATAGTTTGTCAAGTGGCTGTTTTATTTCTATCGCGCTCTTATTCCCGTTTTTGCCTCTCGTGTTCATTATGTTTCTAGGTTTACATTCCACTTAGATGGTGTTACTTCTGTTTCTTACGGAACTGGTTGGTGGCCTGTCTGATGCTTGTCAGAGGTTTTCTGACGCAAGACAGTATCGAAAATGCATATTAAGTCAATTGTTCTAGAGGGATTCAAGTCCTATGCTCAGAGGACTGAAGTCAATGGTTTTGACCCCCTCTTCAATGCTATCACTGGTTTAAATGGTAGTGGGAAATCCAATATATTGGACTCCATCTGCTTTTTGCTGGGCATCTCCAACCTGTCTCAGGTAAAGTGTAAACTTTCTCATTTGTGTGAATTTTAAGTTTGGAAGGAGAATCCTTACTGAACTTTGGAGATTTACCAACATTCTCTTCATTTGTGTTTTTATACATTTTGTAAATTACACCTCACTGCAACCTTTTAAGAAAAGTCATATTACTCCTTTAGATGAGAAAATAGACACTTAGAGAGGTTGCCTAAGGTTCATCCTTTTAAGATGTTTAGAAGTAACAGTGTCTCAAAACTCAGGCATTCTGACTTTAAAGTGGTCTTGTTCCAGAGTATTTTCACCCCTGTGTAATGATGCCTTTCCAAATCCTATTCATGGATTGGATGAGTAATGAAAATCATGGGCACTATCTTTATATCTTGCAGAGTAACTTTTTGTCAAAAAACGAATAGGAAACAGTTCAGAATTGAAAGGGTTCTGTAGAGAAAAATGTCCACTGCAGGTTGTTGCCTCTTTTTCTTGTTTTTCCTGCCAGAGGGTGCAGCTGCCTATCCTTGTCTACTTAATGGACACAATATTGGTGGGTTTTCCAACAGCAAGGAATCCATTTTTAGTGCTGCTTTGTATATAGGGGATTTTGTAATTGATAAACTTTTCATTCTTTATTTTAGGTTCGGGCTTCTAATTTACAAGATTTAGTTTACAAAAATGGGCAGGCTGGTATTACCAAAGCCTCGGTGTCAATTACTTTTGATAATTCTGACAAAAAGCAAAGTCCTTTAGGATTTGAGGTTCATGATGAAATCACAGTAACAAGGCAGGTGAGTGCCCGATTAAACATTTGCGTATCTTAAGAAGTTTTACGTCTGATGTGTTTTTTGGCCCATGCCTTTGCATAAAGTGCTAGAGGAAGTTCATGTGCAAAATTGGTACATTAAGTTCTGAGTGGATTCCTTAAGAATATTTTCCTTATATTAAAATTTTGATCATGAACATTCTATCACTAAGAGCATTGAAAGAGAGCTGAAAAGTTATTCATCCAATATAAGCACTCAACTATGCTGAAATCTTAAACCATACTTGAATCTTCTCTGGCTGTTCTTGAACACCTGCGTACCTGAGATCTTGAAGTCTTCTGAGATAACCCATTCTGTTTTTGGATAGGTCTTATTAGAAAGTTATTCCTATAAATTTTGTCATAGTCTGCTGTCTTAAAACTTTATACATTGATCCTTGTCCTCTTGAGAGCACCAAGAGCAAATCTAACTTATTCCCTGTTTCAGTGTTTAAGTGATCTGCAAGTATACGAGTTTCAGTTCTAAGTGAAATCTTGCCAGGTCTTTTTCTAGTTCTTTCACTTGCCTAATTATACCAAGTATGCTCCAGTTCACTTCTCTGCCCTCCATTTATCTGCCTATCTTTCTATTTCTTTTAATGGCACCTTAGATTGAGTGTATTGGAATTGGTCTAGTTAGAGTTATTTCATTTTAGATATTCTATTTTTATTTTTCCCATAGAGCATTGGAGTGTTGATAATACATTGTGGATTCATATTAGATTTACTTGAAACCACTAAATTTTTTTAGGTCTGTTATTAATATAGTCAGGCAGTGTTTTCAGCTTGTCAAGGTTTTAAATGTTGTCAGCTCCCATATACTGCCCATCTTTGCATTATGTCACTTACAGATTTTCTCCTCTATTTTATTGAACGCCTCTGGTTTAAAAAAAAAAAAAAAAAAAAAGGTTGACTAGGTTGGGACAGAAATGATCTATGCCATTAGGCAATCATCAAATATTTACCCTCTAGGAATTGTCACTACGTCTCATACTAATCCACCTAATTGTTCCTGTCCTCATTCAGGCCATAAACCTGTATCTTCACCAAAGTTTTGTCATAAAGTTCTTGTCAGAGAGGTCTCTTCACATATGTTAATATATGAACTACCAACATATCCTGTCAGGAAAAGAACTAACATTTATTCAATGTTAATTAACTGCTTGATGTACATTGGGTGTTCTTGAATGTACTGGGATGCACAGTTAGAATAATGAGAAACAGAGCTTGTCTTTAAGGACCTTAATCTGGTAGATGAGATGGTCATACCCAATAAATGACAGTTTAAGTGTGATAGCAGAGTATGGTGTCTGGCATGACTTAATGAAACCATACTGAAGCTCCATGATTACCCTTTCTTTTAAGTAGTCACAAATCATCTCTTTATTAATAGCTTTTTGAATCTTGTCATGAGTTAATGTCAGGCTACTCTGTCTGACTTCTATTCCCATTATAAAGTAGAGAAAGTTATCCTCTATAGAAAAATAACAAGGTAACTAGGAAAGGAAGGCATGTTTTACATATACTTGGAAACATAAAGCTAGAAGTTACCTGAGAGACTGAGTCCGGTGCATGGCAGAGTAAAAGGCTTGTGTGTAATTACATAACTAGTTAGCAGAAGTACTTGCATTAGACACTAGTTGTCCTGACTCAGCGATTTGGGCCATGTCATACTTGTTGGACTATGCAGAATTGTTTTGTTTACTGCTAGTTGGACAGAACAACTAAATGTAGGCTAATATACTTAGTAATTTATCACAGCCCAAGGTGTGCATGTACGCTAATATTTAAAATATTGCTTTCTTTTTTAGGTGGTTATTGGTGGTAGAAATAAATATTTAATCAATGGAGTAAATGCCAACAACACCAGAGTACAGGATCTCTTCTGTTCTGTTGGCCTTAATGTTAACAACCCTCACTTTCTCATCATGCAGGTATTCTATCTGAGGTCTTTCTATCTCTTTCATAATAGTTTTGACATTTTTTACTTTAAAGTAATTACAATAGAAGGACCTTATTTTTGGATTTTATATTTTCTATTTACTATTGTGCTGTGTCCGGCCATCTGTTAAGAAATGTGGTTTAGTTACTTGCATTAATGTATTCCACATTATGGGCCTTTGAATTCTCTAGAATGTTTAGAATTAGATTTCCTTGACTTTTTATTTTGTCACTCAAAGAATAATACATGTTAACTGTACAAAAATTATCATATCCTTTTAAATTATTGGATTAATGCCTCTTAATATTACAAGTATAAAAGTTTGCATAATTTTCTTATTTAGAGACACAAATGAGAGGTAAAGCTTGATTTTATCTTACATTTACATTATTTAATTTGACTCATCCAGCTATCCTTTGAGAGAATTACAGTAAAGTCAGTGGGAGCTTGTCAGTGGGACCAAAATAAAAATATTTCCACTACATCAGAGCTTCAGAGCTGAAAATTTACTTTAAGTGAATCTACATTCTAGTAATACGATTCTCTGAGACCTGAGTGTGCAGGTTTTTTACTTGGTTTTGATAGTGAATGAATTTAATGGGTTTTTGGCATTGATAGGAAAAATTTTATTCTATTTGAAACCTGGAAGTATGTTATCTGTTTTGTGAAATTATCCTGGAGGGTTATCATTCAAACAAATTTTAAAAGTTTATCCATTATGCTAAAATTTCTTC